AAAGGAACGTCTGAATAAATCAGCATCTTTGTCTATTTTTCCAAAATAAAATTATGCTCAACACTTGGACACTTTCATAGTCTCATAGAAGTCATTTCCTAATACCACTTTGTCATTTTCTAAGAATATTAATATTGGACAAAAATAAACTTAGTAGACAGTTTTGAAGAGTTCTCCAAGTCAAAACAAACAGAAGAATTGAAATGGAGGAGAAAGAAAATGTTCCATTCTAAACAGTCATGAAAACCAGCTCTTCCAATAGATGTACCAAAAAATGCTGAGACCTGTTTGGAAATAAAACAATATTGGGCTCGAGGAACTGAACTTCAAAGCCAATGTCATTGGGAAGGGCTTTCATCAGACTCCAGAATCACTTATTAAAGTGATTCTCTCTCACCTCCCTCACTCCCCAGTGCCCAACCTTCCCCCTGAGCTCACTGACCAACGGCTCCTAACCCCCGATCCCTCCAGATCATCAACACTTCTCCTCTCTCCTACAGACATGTCTGAAGCAGAGTCTAAGGCATGGGTAAGTCTGTGAATTCTCCCATTACGTTTTCCCTGAGTGTTTAAAACAGGAGTTTTTCAGGTTCAAGTTTCAAACTGAACTCAAACCGACATACACAAAAGCTGCTATGGACTCATGTAACTGTGCTATCACACAGTGTACTGTTTCAGGCATAGCTGGATCCAGGATCTCAGGCTGTGCTTCCAGAAGTCCATCTCTCTTCACATATGGGCTCTGTTTTCTTTCGTGCTAACTTGGTGTCTTTCAGTTGGTGATAACAGGACCACTAGGAACATTAGATTCACATCCAGACAGCCTAGCCCAGGAGGAGAGAAAGTTTCTTTTTACAAAACATGGCAGAAAGAGTCCTGGGCTGAATGCCTGGCTGGAATCATGGACATCCTGAATCCTAAAAGGATGGATCCTTTCGTGTGCCTGGCTCTTCTCACATAACCACTCCTGGAGCTGGAGAAAGACAGTCCACCAACCACAACAGCTGAGCAGTGGGGTCCTGCGGGTTCTCCTGGGGAGGTGAAGGAGCATCATCTGAGCAGGTGGAAAGGGATGCTGCCAGAGCACCAGATGCCAGGCAGCATGGGCTGGTGCCAAAGAACCTCTCAGTCACAGAGGAGACACACAGAGACTGAGCCCCTGCTCCGGTGTCACACACACGGAGAGCTGACAGGCAGCCCGGAGCCCAGGATGGCCAAGGATCCATTGCAACACTGACCACACAGTCCCCACAGCAGGAAGAGGGCACGCTGGGATGGCCACGTGGAGATGGCACCCTTGACCTCTGCTGAAAGGCAGGGAATCTCGACCCTGCCACGCACTTGAGCCAGAAAACTGGAGGCAGCTGCAGTGAGAACCACTGTCCGCTCATGATACAGTCATGTCCATCCCAGGGAAGAGCTCTGGACACTGTGGACACCTTTCTGAAGGTCACACCGGTAATCCACGTCCTGCTGACACATACAGCTTGACTTTTACAGCTGTGGACACAACTCGGGAAGGGAAGCAGCTCAGAGGCACGGTCTCCCTACGGCTCTCTTTGTCTCTGAGAAGATTCTTAATCCTTCTGAATGTTGTCCTCACTCCAAAAAGGGAAAGAAGCCTGGAGCTGATGAGGTGTAAGATTTTCCTCGCAACTTCTCACTTTTCGGGGCCCTGTGTGTGGCCTAGAGCTACAGCTGGTGGCCTCTGGCCAGCAAGCAGACAAGGGCAGTCAGCGGGTTTGGGACATCCCGTGTGACTGGGTATGCTCAGTGTGCCTACTTGTGTCTTCAGGTAAATGTGAAAATTAACAGTTCAATTTTATTTCAAATTCAGCCACAGATGTTGATTATTTCAAAAGGGGGGAATTAATGTAAAGCAGAGACTGAGCTCTGAAAAACTTCCTTTTAAAAATAGGCCTTTCCACATTCTTCCTTGCTATGCAGCCTGTACAGTGCTACATCCGAAATTACAATGGCTCAGCCCACATGTCCTTCAATAGCTTTATAAAGACCCATAAGCAAGCATCATCAAATGTAAGTGCCTAAAAATGATCCCAGGGCTCAGGCCTCACTTCATCCTGTGCCCCCCTAAAAAGCAGCATGAGCTATATTCACTCAGGAAGGAGTGTCTTCCAAAGGACACTCGACAACCAAATGGATATTTTCCATCAAAACAGACGTAGATAACTTTTCATAATTCCCATCTTATGCATTTGTTTTATTTCCACAAGTGGGTCAGAAGTTTTGGAAATAATTTCACGATAGTCAAAAAATTCAAGTGAATTTCTCAAAGGAGATTCTGCCAGTAACATTTGAGAAGACACTTTGGAGTCTTAGAGGGCCTGGATGGCTGCATGACGAACAGGGGGCTGCCTGTTTTGCGTCGGTTATCCACAGAAACAAGGAAGGATAAACTCTAAAACATGAATCGTAAGCTGAGGGCTGCTCCCATTGGCCAGATCCAAATTAGCTGAAAATTAGCAAGGGTAGAATTTCAGACTGAAGTAAGGTGCAAAACTGTGACTTTGGCCTTTTATTTCAAGGAAAAGGCAGTGTTGGCTCGACTGAGTAGGATTCTGGTCAGTGAACTACGGATGGATCTTGACCATAGGGACTGAGTTTCCATTAACTTGCAGACGGTATTCAAACTCGAGGAAAAGGGATCCCACAAACCCGTGGGGTTTTCATCAAACCCCGTGCACGTGGGCAAAGGTTCTGTGGTGCAGGAGCCCATGACAATGTCACGGCTGCAGGCCCCAGAACCTGGCAAGACGACCCAGGACACAGCTGCATGTGCACATGCGTGGTTGGCCCTCAAGCCTGGAGGACTGGGGCCAGAGGATTCATCCAACAAAGGGTGCTACGCCTCACTGAAGCCTTGCTACCTGCAAGGCCTCCTGCTACTCACTCTGTGGGGCTTCTTTCCCCCAGCCCTCCTGTGGTCTCATGGTCATCATCACCACTGGCTAATGCATAACTTCAGGAAAACCTCTTAAACCTCAGTTTTTGCGGACTGGGGATTACAACAGAACTGATTTCAAGGGGTAGTGCATACAAATGGCCTGGGGCAGCACTAGGGAATACATATAAAATAATTTGCGAATGTCTTTGTTATTCATCCAAGCATCTCCAGGCCACTCACAGAACGCTACAGAACACCAAGATGTCACAATATCATGAGATGAAGCCATCTTTGATATTTTTCAGACATTCAGTCATATAAAAACCACAGCTTTATATATATTTATTTTTGTTTATTGCACTCACTATTCCTTTCTTATTTTTAATTATGAAGGTATTTCCGTCCAGCAGGAGGAAGGAAGAGGTCTTGTCTTAAGTGAGTCATTGGGATTCGTAACCCCACATTTGGACGTAGAGCTGGGCTTCCGACTCCTCTTTGACCTTGGGCTCCACAGGTGTTTGTGGAGGGCCTGGTCTGAGACACAGCCCAAAGGCCAGTGCAGTCAGGGCTCACCTGGCGACTGCACGGGGTCTACGTGGCCCGTGTCATGGGACACAGCTGTCCTCTCTAGCCAGAGGAGTCCTGCTGCACAGCAAGTGCACGACCCTCCCTGGAGGAAGCTCAGCAGGACTGGGTCCCCCTGACAGCTGTGTCCTTGCACACAGATGCATTCCTGGCCAGCGGCCTCCACCTGCAGCCTCTTTCCTGCGGCCAGCCTTCAGTGGCGACCTTCCCAGCATCTCGCTGCATCCCCACCTGAGGGTGGGTCTGAGACGCTGTGTCCACCCCAGTGCCCCATCCTTTCCCATCCTGGCTCTTGCCTTCCCCCCAGGTGTTAGGAGCCTTTTGTTGCAGATTCCCTCTGTACAGCGGTGGTCCCCATGTCTGCTCTTGTCCCCTGGAGCCCCTGAGCCTTGTCCAGCTTAGCCTCTTGCTTCTACTGTGGCAGAAAGTGGCAGGGACAGGCTGCTGCTTTCCTCTCTTCCTGCTGTCTTCACGGACTGTGGGCTTGATCCTACTGCAGTGACGTCATCAGCAAAGAAGGGACATCGACTTCTGTTATAAAAAGTTGTCCTGAGTGCCATGCACTGCTCCTCTCCAAAGGCAGCGAGCAGGGCTGGCAGGGCCCTGGGTGACCTCTATGCTGGCTTCCATCTGAGTCCAGAGCTGCTCCAGTTCACCATCTTGCTCAAATCCCAGCTCAGGGGAAGGTGAACGGTTCAAGGATAAACACTTTGCCTATTGAGGTCATGACCTTAAGGTGGCTCTTGTTGTTTCTCTTCCTATCCTACTGGCCACCGCTTAGTGACATGACTACAAGGGAAGCACATGCCCTGCTAAAACTTAGAAGTGTTGTTTGAAAGGAAGAAAGAAGTACAAGCCAGGCTCAGGAGGCTGAGACAGGAGGATTGTGAGTTCAAAGCCAGCCTCAGCAATGGGAGGCGCTAAGCAACTTAGTGAGACCCTGTCTATAAAATAAAAAATACAAAATGGGCTGGGGATGTGGCTCAGTGGTGAAGTTCAATCCCTAGTACCCCCCCCCCAAAAAAGGAGGGAGGACAAACATGGGAGGGCTCTACACTCCCCCCACAGACCCCGTGTACTGCAAGGTGCTCACCCCTGCAGCCTCAGGCCCTTTAGCTCCCTGTTGCCCTCTAGCACCCTCAATTCTTTAACATCTAGTATTCCAACTTCTCTAAACTGAGAACAGGAGCATCTCTCTACAGGTTTGTCCTGAGTATTGAGATAGCACTCAGAACAGCGCTTGCCTCGGAGGAAGTGCCCAGACACATTAGCCTATTATTAAGGGCAGTCCCTATTTTAAAGCCTTTCATTTTATTTCATTTTAACGTTTTAATCAATCATTCGCACAAATGATATGCGCAAATATGATAGTGACAAACTGGAACCAACTTGAATATCCTATGACAGGAAGTCAAGTAAATTACATTACAACCATATACCAAAGTACTACGTAATATATGAAAAGCCATCTACAATATGCTGTTAAGGAAAGAAGTTACAAAACAGAAAGGATGGTATAATCTTATTTTTTTATGAACTTAGATGCAACTATTACATTGAATAAGCCCGAATCATGGAATGGAAGCACAAAAACCTCCACTTTTTCCTTTTTACCCCTTTTCTCTTGACATTTATTGGTAGAGCTAGTTCCTTCTCTGTCTTTGGATAAAGCAGGGTCACACTTCTTCTCTGGTCAATGTTGGAAAACAGAAGCACCCATGGCTACTCCTAGGAAAAGAAGCCTCGGTTATTAATAAAAATGTTCTCCCTCAAGCTCAATTCAGAGCTGCAGCCTTTCCTTACCACGTCAGATCTTCCGAAGCTTGCAGCCCAGAAATGGGGTTGTCTGTAATGTCTTCTCTGTTTTCTTTTTCTTTTATTCCTGCTCCCTTCCCTTCTGCTAATTTTCCCTGCAGGGTTGGCCCGTGGGGAGAAGGGAAGGAGGGGACCCAGGAAAGCCCTGACTTGACTGCGAATGGCACAGTGGCCTAGAATCTGACTCTCCAAGCCTGGCATTGTGTTTAGATGACTCTTCTTACTGTCATTTCTTCTATGACAAGTAGTTTTAGGTCCTGGATATTGTGAGGGTTACGTTGTATAGATTCTCACTCTCTTATCCTTTTATAATAGCTGAAGAATGCCGATATTTTTAGAAAAAGCCAAATAGCCTAGTTAGGTTAAGACAGCAAGCTCTATCTCTCCTTCTGTAGGCAGGGCCTCTAGTCATCAGCCAGCATTCAAAGCCTTTGTTCTGTTACTCGTGTCTTCTGCATGCACCCCTCGGATGTTAGTCTGAGACTTGGCTGGTGGTTAAATCTGAGTTCCGTTCTCAAAGCCTTTGCTACACTGCTTTGGTTCTGCTGTGTGTATGTGCAACTTGGAGACAAGCCTGGAACTTGCCTAAGTTTCTCCAGAGGATTAAGAAATCCTCTCTTTAGTACTCGTTTCTGTAGGATTTCTCCACATTGACTAGACAATGAGGCCCATGTGTAATTTTTAAGGAAGTATTTGGAATTTAAGCCAATCATTTCTAAAATGATTCAAAGTGCAAATTTAAAGAAAACTTTTATATTATTAAGTGAAAATGAAAATGCAATGCACCAAAATTTGTGAGACGTGGCTAAAGTGGTGCCCAGAGGTAATTTCATAGCCCTAATATGTTCACAGTAAAAAGAAAAAATTTCTCAAATCAGCTTTCATCTGATGATGGTAGAACAAGAAGAATAAATTAAATCTGAAGCAAGATTTTAAAAAGAAAGAAATTAATAAAGATAAAAGCAGAAATTGATCAAGTTTAAAACCTAAAAACATTGCAAAAATGAGAACAAAAGCTGATGCTTTGAAGGCCAGCCAAATTGGTTAACATCTGGACAGACTAACCAAAAGAAAGAGAAGACAAAAATTATCCATGTCAGAAACAAAGGAAGGAACATCACCACAGACCATATGGATATTAAAGCAATAATAAGGAAATAATATGGATAACTTTATGCTATAAATTCTGTCACTCAAATGATATGAACCAATTTTTGGAAAGACACAAATAACCAAAACATATGAAAGAAGATATTGAAAAACCTGAATAGCCCTATATCTATTAAAGAAATTGAATTCTGAATTTAAAATCTTCTGACAAAGAAAACTTCAGGTCCAAATGGCTTCACTGAGGAATTCTACCAAATATTGAAGATATAATAATGGATCTAGACAAATTCATCAAAAAAAACAGAAGTGGAAGCACCACTTATCAACTCAATTTATGAGGTCCAAATTACTTTGCTACAAAAAGAAAACTAGAGTGCTTTATTTCTAATGAACATAGATGTAATAATGTTCAACAAAATATTAGCAAATTGAAAATAGAAGTATATTCATACAATAATAATAATGTATCATGGACCAATGGGATTCATCCTAGGAATGCAAGGCTGGTTCAATACTCCAAAATCTAATGATGTAATTCATCATCTCAGCAGAGTAAATGATAAAAATATCTATACTATGTGAGTAGAGGCAGTAAAAACTTTTGACAAAATTCAATATCCCTTCATGATAAAAGCTCAGAGGAAATAAGGGAGTATCCTTAACATGACACCGTGAATCCACCACAAAGCTTGTAGCTAATATCATCCTTCACATTAGAGACTGAGAGCTTTCCCCTAAAACCAGGAGCAGGGTGAGGGTATCTTCTGTCACCTCCTGTTCAACATAATACTAGCCAGAGTGATAGGCAAGAAAAATAAGATGCATACACAAAAAGATATAGAGCTGTCACTGTGCACAGATGGCATGACTGTCTATGTGGAAAGTTCTAAGATGTCATCAAAAAAGAATCTCTACAACTAATCAGTGAATTTATCAAGATTGAAGATACAAGGTCAATGTACAAGAAGAATTAAAATTCTGTATATTAGCAATAAGCTATCGGAAATAAATTTCATAAGGCACCATATATAATAACACCCCCACTCCAAAAAATAAACTGCTTAGGCATAAGTTTAACAAAATATATATGGGATTTATAATACTGGAAACTAAAAACACTGATAAAAGAAATCAAACAAGGTCTAAATAAATAAAAAATTATAACCATTTCATGGCTTGGGAGATTTTATTGTTAATATATTTATAAGACTGAATTCAACATCAATCAAAATCCCATAAGGAAATTTTTAAATTATAATTACAACTGTTTCTAAAATTTACATAGAAAAGTATGGGAACTTGACTAACCAAAGTTATTTTTCAAAAGAAAAAAAATGCTGGATAATTCACACACCTGATTCCAAGACTTAATTTAGAGCTACACAGAGTCAAGAAAACAAACGTGTGGTAGTGGCATAAAGATAGGCAAAAAGATCAATGGAACCAAGTTCATAAATAAGTCTATATTTATAGGGCCCATTGATTTTCCACAGGCGAACAGAGGCGTACAGAGCTAGGCGTATGCCTAGCTTTTTAACAAATGATTCTGGAACACCAAGCACAGATGGAGGAAAAAATAGCAACTTAATTCCTTCTATTTTACAAAACATAACTCAAAATAAATTATAGACCTACATGTAAAAGCCAAAATTTAAAAAAAAAAACCCAGAAGAAGACATAGGAGAAAAATCTTTACAATTTCTTAAATATTTCACCAAAGTCACAATCTATAAAAGAAAAACATTGTTAATTTTGACTTTGGCAACATTAAGAATGTCTGCTATCCCAAAGACACTAAAGAGCTAAAAAGACAAGTCATGGTAGCCACATGTCAGAGTAAGAACTCATTTCCAGATGGTATTAAACACTTTTACCACCCATAATAAGAAAGCAGGAAGCCCAATCAAGGTATAAATGGGAAGAATACTTTAAAAAGAAATTTCACCAAAGATACTATCTGGGTGGCAAATAGGGACATGGACAGAGAGCTCAATGTCATTTGTCCTTAGAGAAGGCAAATTAACACCACAGTGAGATACCATACCACACCTGCAGGAATGCCCAAAAATGTCCAAACAAACTGGCAAATCCAGATGCTGGCAAGCATGTGGAGAATCTGACTCTCCAAAACTTTCCTGGTAAGATTGCAAATTAGCTCAGCCACCGTGGAAAACAGTCCGGCTGTTTTCTACAAAGCTAAACGTAAATCATTTACCTTAGGGAATTCCACTCCCAGGTAGTTACCAAGAAAAATCAAAACTTATGTTCATACAAAATCTTGCCTATGATGTCTATAGCAGCTTTATTCGTGATCATTCAGAACGAGACACCACCCAACTATCCTTCACCTGCCAACGCACAAACCATGTACATTTATAATGGAATAGTACTTGGGAATTAAAAGGAATAGACTCCTGTTATTTGGGACAGCATGTAGGAATCTCGAATACATGGTGCTTCAACAGACTGCAGACTCAAAAGTCTGTCTGATTCCTTTACCACAACATTCTAGAGAAGGTGAAAGTATAGAGACAGAAAACAGGTCCGTGGTGGAAGGCTGAGGGCGGAGGCAGGGGGATGATTTGGGGCTGATGAAACTGTTCTCCGTATTAATTTTTGTGGTAAGAATATGACTATGCATTTGTCAGGACTCATAGAAGTGCACATTGAAAGAGTAAATTCTACTGTGCATAAATTTCCAAAAAGTGGATTGAAACAAACAAGGAATGAATGGTCTCGGTATTCAGTAAGTACTTATTAAAATAGACTATGATTGATGTATGGATAGATACATTAATCCTATGAACTTTGTATTTATTTAAATGTGAACCAGGGTATGAACTATTTTTCAACTCAATAGTTCCAAATTAACTCAGAAATATCTTGACTACAAAGTTCCAGAAAATCCCCCAGACGGGTCAGCAAGTTTTATACCTCTCAGACCACCATTTGTTTCTCATTAACTAGAGCATTCCCAATGGATAACAGAATTTTCCAATTCAGCATCAAAAACAGAAAGGAACCTTGGTCACCAAAAAAATATCTCCTATACAACAGGGCCACCCAAAAACATTGTAAATGGGATTTAGAGTCTCGCAGCAGCTGCACTTCACATGGAAATCCAACCATCACACCATGACAGCACAGAGAAGCAAGTAAACAAAAACATTCAACATTTACGTACACTTTTCCCAGTCTTATAAAAAAAGAAGCCCCACTTTCCCGGCTGCTGTGGTGTGGACGTGGACTCTGAGGTGGCCATGCGCTCGCCCTGCTCCCTCGCACACCCCGCTTCTTCAGCTCGACTGTTGGTGGAAGAAGTGATGGACGCGTGTGAACAGTGGGGAAGCCTGAGTGCCTTTCAAAAATCAGGGCAGGCTGAGGGCTCAAGTGAGGCTGACTCCACTCTCCCAACACCGCCCTGCGGGGCCTGCCGAGCCATGGACCATCTGTGCCCCAGGGAGGAGTTCCTGCTGCTGTCAGGGTGCCCAGGGAAGTCCTCAACACGTACCCTCATCCCAGCAGGTCAAACTCCCCTATAAACTTCCCACATCTATCTTTGAACCCCCCCCCATACATTTCCACACCTTCCCAGGAGGTAATAAGAGGAGGGGCCTTTTATGGTGGGCAGGTGGAATGCAGGTCAGGCTTGCCTGGGGCCAGGTGGGTGGCTGGGGAGAACTGCACTGGTGTCCACACCAAGCAAGGCAGAGGGGGAGAGTCGCAGAGCCCTCTAAATCCAGGCGTGGAGGTGGCTGCAGAGCAAAGCTAAGACAAAGTGACCCTGGTCAGCCGAGGCTGGGGAGAAAGGGGGGAGAGAAGTCTAAAGGTGCTCTTCCCTCTGAAGGTTTGACCGTTTTAGTCTCTCAAATAAAGTGACAATAGACAGACCACAGACAAATTAAGAGCCCAAGCACAGATGCCACACACGCTCAGTGTGAGACTCAGAGAGGGCTGTGTTGGTTAGTCAGCCTTGTGTGGGTGTGAAAAAATATCCGAGGTAAACAACCGAAAAGGAGGAAAGATTGATTTTGGCTCCCAGTTCCAGAGGTCCCATGGTCACCTGGCCCTGCCGCTTTAAGACCTTGGGGAGACAGAACGTCACGACCAGGAACTAGTGGAGCAAAACTCTCCCCTCGTGGCAGCCAGGGAGTGAAGAGAGACAGAAAGGGCCAGGGACAAAGAGACCCTGCAAGGCCACACCCCAGTGACCCGCTTCCTCCAACTGCTAGGTAGCTGGCCAGCCACGGATGGAGAGAGGGAAATGACATGGAAGGGCGGGTGAAAACCACAGGGAGCCTTATGGGACAGGCAGCACCCGGATCGTGGGGCACGGCATGTCAGAATCTCCCCCAGGCACCGATAATCACACCCCCTTGAGATAAGTGGTTGTTTCAAGATCTTGCCACATCTACCAGGTGGCCAGCACCCTCCCCCATCACCAAAACCATGTCACAGCTACCCAACCATTCCCTGTGACAGGGACATCAAAGACCCTCCAAGAAAGTGTGCCGAGGGCTATTCAAGCAGATTAAGGGGGAAACTGAGCAAGAGCAGTGGGGCCCAGGAATCCTTGAAGACCCCTGACTTAGTGAAGGCCACCACCATTCGAAGACCCACTGATACTCTCCAGGGTTTCCCTGTCCCCCCCCCCTGCTCGCTGCCCGTCCTAGGAATCTTCTTGTGAACCTGGAACTCTCTCAAGCAAGAACACAAGAATTCAGGATGGGACCCCTCTGCTGGCGGCCTGGCAGGGGGTCCGTGGGCAGATCTCCTCTATAACTCAACCAGGCCCCACCCCCCAAAGTTTCCATCACCTCCTGAGAGCCGCGTCAGTGGATTAATCCACTGAGGTCTGACTTTATCATCCAATCACCACCCAAAGTTCTCACCTCTGAACACAGACGCGGTGGTGGCCAAGCCTCCAGGGGACATTTCAGGGGACTTTCGCCCAGATCATAACAAGGGGCAAGATGGCTGACCCTTAAATAGAGCTGACCGAAGGGGTCAGGGCTTTGGGGTTCTCGGGGTCAGGGAGGAGGTGCACACCATGGAACATGGGAGTGGGAGTCTGTGCTCATTCCGCAGGATTGTCTTGTTCTACAGATGCAGTCTCCCAGGTGACGGCCACCTGTGGCCCTTTGACTGGGCCGGGTGCCACATCCCCCATCTCTCCTTTCCTAGTCAGAAAGGGGAGTGTCAGATAGAGAAGTCCATGCCTGCCTTTGATGTGTATTAGTGTAGATAGATGTCAAGTTCTGTTATAAAAGCACATCTTTCAGAACCACTCCTGTGTCGGCAGGAATTTCCCTGAATGATCACCTCTAAATATGCCAAGGGAATATATCTAGGGCAGGGCATTTTACCAACCCACGCTAGCACAGATGTGTTTTTCTCTAAATTTGATGAAGCTTTGAGGGCAACAAACACAGAGCTCGACAGCACTGAGTATGTAACAGGCTGAACACTTGGTAAATTGAACTAAACAAGAAAAGGGCTGAAGGAAGCCAAACTATGTCAATGTAAACCCAAAACTGGATTCCTTGGGTGCAAACCACTGATTTGATTTAAACTATCCTTTCTCCTCTCTTCTGACCATAAAGCATGCATCTCTGAAGGTAGAAGGTTCATTCAGGAATCGAAACTGAGGGCCATTTGCAATGGATAAAGTGGTGGAGTGCAGGGTGGCAAATGGGCTTGAACTTCACTTCTGTCCTGACTCAGCTGAGAGTGCTGCCAGGGGTCAGTGTTGATGGGCAGGCAGGCCCCAGCCAAATACAGACTCTGGGGGAGAGACTGCGTTGACCCGTTGGATGTCACTCACAGGTCAGGGAAAGGGGAGTGATGGTCCACAGGCAGGTGGAAGGAGCAGGGCCCAGAGTTCTCATCAGGCCTGTCAGTCCGTCCTGTGACTTTGCCAGGTCATCTCCGCTTTTTGGGTCTGTTTCCTTAACTATGTGTGATTGGCTCAGTGAAATGCCCCCTCACTGTCTCTACCACTTCTAGGAAGAGAGGGAATCCGGTCCTTCACTCACGCCTGCTTATGGCATGATCCCCAGATGTAGAGAAGCCTTTTGTCCCCCCAGGTCTCCTCTCCTGCTGTCTTCTCTGCTCTCTGCTGCCTCGGGGGCTGACCTGTGTCAACTTTGCCAACCAACTTCCTTGCCACCAGGCTTCCAGATGGGCCTGGCCAATGGGGAGCCCTGGAAGGAAATCAGGGAGGGGAGGAGGAGGAAGGAAGGCAGGAGAGTGGGAACGAGGAAGGCCAGGCTTCCTCCCTGCCCCGCTGCCCCACTGCCTCAGGCCAGCATGGCTCTGTCTCTGAAACTGGACCTCCTGCCTTTGAGACTCTGCCAGCCACGCCCTCCTCTGGCCCATTGGGCTCAGGGGTGGCAGTGCCACAGGCTGAGGAGGTCACAGCGTCTCTGTCACCAGTTCTTACAGTCATGCCGGATGTAGCTCAGGGCAGGTCTGAGTTTATTAGAAGGCACAGGAAAAGTTTGAAAAAAGAGACTCTCTCAAGGGAGAGAAGGGGTCCTCTCAGGAAGGAGGAGGATGAGGTGCCCCTCTGGTCCCCCCGTTTTGTTAGAGGCCCCAGGGAAGTTTCCAGAGACATGCCCAGGGGTACCCCTTGAGATTTGAGGAAGTTTGAGGATTGCACCAAACTTCCAGACTCCCACTGTGCGTGGCAAAGGTCTAGGGCAACTCTTGGTCACTTCGACCCAGGCCGACCGGTTTTAACTGGAACCCGTTTTTACAGATTGTAGGTTAGAGCAAATTGTCCTTCTGTCCCTGAATTCTGGGATCTCGTCTGTGTGAGGGTCACAAAACTCCTCGCCTTCCCCAAGGGTCATGTCTCTTCTATTCATTGGCATTTGGGGCCTGAATTTCCCCTGCAGATAGCGTTTTGCTGGCTGAGCCAGGCTTAGGATGGGGAGGGGTTGGGCCCCAGCCCATGGGCTCACCAGGGATCTCCCCATCCTGCGCCATCCTGGAGAGGGGAAGGAGTGCTCTGCAGGACTCTGCTCCCCCCAGAACCTCAACCTGGCTCCACTGCCCAGGCTTGGAGGAAATGTCTCTCCTTCTCTCTCTCTGTCTCCCTCACTCCCCCGTCTCCCTCCCTCCATTGTTCTTTGTGTGTCTTCTCTCGACCCTCGACCTTCGATAACCCCTAAAGCGCTCACCCAGCCCCCGCCCCACTCTCGTGTGACCTAATGAGTTTAAGCTTTCGCCAGAGAAGTCGAGAAGAAAACTGTCTTCAGGTGTCATCTCTTTCACCCCCAAACAAGAAGCTAGACGGCTGAGCTACCATTTTGAAGATGTGTGGGAAAATCTGCAAAGAATGTTCAAGGCAGGGAGATTATTTCAGGAAACGTGTGACAGGAGCAGCTTCGGGGTGGGCGTGGAGTGAGGGGGCGGCCACGGCCCATCTGACATGGGGGGGAAGCTGTAATGTCACAGGAGCCAGAGCAGCTGAGTCTCTCAGGGGACCTGAGCCTCTCTGGCCAGAAGGACAGTCACTGTGAGCATGTTGGGGTGGAGGGCAATCAGGTAGGGACTTGGAGGCTGCGGGAAGGATTTGGGACTTTATTCAGAGAAAGCCAGGAACCTCAGTGTTCCCAGCAAAGTGTTTCTCCACATTACTCCACGAACACCCCGCCTTCCCCTCTGTGAGCACTCTGGGCCGTACTGGCCTGTGCTCTCAAGAAGTTCTGTCTCTGGCTAATCCATTGTATCCTTTTCAGGGATTTTACCCCAATGTTGGTCATTTTTTTCATAATTGGCTTCATAAAGACTGTGTATTTGATTATCTTATTTCTGTTCAAAGAGAATTATCCTCAGGAGTGTTTTAAGCAATAAAAGGCAGGAGGCCTGCATTTTCCTTTGAAAAGAGGTATGGTGGAGGGAATCTAGCCCATGATTTCATTATGAATACAAAAATGTTTCCCAAACTTCTCTTAACTTAAGAAGAGAAAGCTACTAAGTTAGAGAGACTGCAGCCTTTTACTGAAGAAGCATGAAACCTTCAATTTATCCCAAGTGAAGTCATTTTTCAAATTATGTCACCTAATTCGATGACTCATCTTCTTAAGCTTCATTTTTCATTGGTCTGCATGGGTCCGAGAGATGCCAGTCATCATCTCCTGCTCACAGGACAGAGCCAGTTCAGTCCGGGTGACAACCACCCCCCATGGCACAGCTGATTGGACCATGTGGAGATGTGTGACCCAAGTTACCCGCTTAAAAGCCTCGTCCCAAATCTCTGGGGCTGAATCTTAGACAGTTGGTTGAGAGAATAGAGTCCCCAGGTCTTGCAGGCAGCAGCTGCACAGTTGAGGCTGCTGGACAGCGGATCACTGTGCTCGGCAGCCCTGTTTGTTGATGAGTTTCAGGTAGCCATCTGACCCACGTGCCTGGAGAAAGACCAGCTCAGTCGGAGACAGCAGTAAGCACACAGAGAACGAGAGAAGGGACTCGGTGGGCAAAGGAGGCCAGAGCATCCCCAGAGGCCCAGCAGCACCCCTGCACAGCCCCTGTCCTGACCTGATGGCTGGACACTTACCCACAAGCCATTCACTTCCTTACCCTTCCTGACTGGGAGTTCTGTGTCTGTATACAATTTTTCTGAGCTCAGCCTAATCTAGGATTGGGAAGACATTTTACTTTTTAAACTCACTTTTTAACTCCAGTTGCAAAACAGTTACATCTTATGGAAATGATGTTAAGGCATCCATGACATTGAGAAGGTACAGAAACCTGGGCTGAACCTATCAGTAGAACTGTTCTGCATTTACCCACAATGACTCTGAACTGTTTTCCATGCTGAGGAGGCAAATCCACCCTGACCTCATTCCTCCTCCCATTCTCAAATTCCCCATCCTCCTGCACTGACCCAGAAATGTGTGCTGAGTAGGTTGCGGAGGAAAATATAAGTCAAAACTCATCTAGTAAACTCTGGAAATTGTGTCTGTAACAAAGTGGTTATATTAAATATGCTAAAGGGCAAAGCACTTCCTGAGACCACAGCACAAGCCCAGGACTTGCCAAGTGGGAAACTTGAGAACCCAGGAACCAACTGGGGAATGCATAGTTCAGGTTTTGGGCACAGGGAGATAATGGTCAGAAAATAAATACCATTTAAGTAAGAGAAAAGGGACATCTATTAAGTGGACAAATACATATTAAGCACTATGTGCTAGTTTTCAAATTAGAGCTTTGTTTAAACCATCTTCGAATCTCTAGAAAACTCAAGTCCGAGGCTATGTACACTTTTCCTTCAAGGACCAGATAGTAAATATTTTAGGCCTTGAGAACTACCTGTGGTCTCTGATCCATATTATGGCTTCCTTCTGTCTGATTTGTTTGTACACTTTCAATATGTAGAAACCATTCTGGGTTCACAGGCCATGTTCAAGCAGGATGGAGATCTTGAGCTGCAGGGTTAGATGTTCCCAGTGATAGCTGAAGTTTTACAGGAATGGATCTCTCACCATTTTCCAATGGTTGGACTCTTCTCAAGTTCTTGTCAAATTGAGCCATATTTTCTTTTCCTATAATTTCTAACCATATCTTTTCTAACCCATAGAGTTGACAATCTATAAAATTTTCAGGAAATGGGCAATCCTTCCTCACAGGCTGTGAAGAGGTGAATTTTTCTCTCTTCAGGTAAACCTTCCCATCAAGGTTATCCTAACTGGGGATAAAATTACTTTCAGACTCTTGAGTACCTGCTTCTTGGCATCTTGATTCCAGTGGTCTCCCTAAAATGTGACTTCCAGAATTTGAGGTTCTAAAATCTGATTCAACCATTGTGGATTCATTTGATCTATTATGTAGCTTAATTTGAACAGAGTATTGATCATAGTACTGTCCATGATGGTTAATTTTAGATGGTAAGAGGACTTAGGATTATCTAGAGAGCTGGTAAACGGTGCTTCTGGGCATGTATGCGGGGACGTTTCCAGAGGACATTGACCTCTGAGTCTGGACAGAGTGGGGAAGATCTGCCCTCAATGTGGGCAGGTACGATCCAGTCAGCAGGGAGTCCAGGCA